TAGATATATTCAATAATTATTCCACACTTTCACAGTGACAGTTGTGTCATAGACAGATACAGGCTGTCTACTCCCTCTGTCTGTCCTCAGGCATCACATGGATCTCCTTGCTTTAAAACATCATTATCTCATTATAGCACAACCAGAGAGGTGGCTTTGGAGACCATGTCATTACGATCAGTTCTGGTCCCTGCTGCTACACAGAGCAGTTCCTCAGCAGGGTCAGTGCAACAGGATTAGGGAAATGACCAGCCCAAAATGACTTGTTTCCTTTTTCCTTCCCTCCCATCTTTTCCTGAGCTCTTCCCCACAGACAGCCCTGTTGGTGAAGCATTCCGTGAAGTGACCAGCCAGCCACAGAGGTGGAAGAGAGGAACTTTTCCAGTTGATATCACTGCCAAAACCCCCACAGGTGCTCTGCTCTGCCGGGCCAAGCCAGCCCAGTCCCAAGAGGAAGGTGGAACCTTACTTACTAGCTCCATCCAGCCACAGCTCTGCTCTTGCCATCGGCCACGTGCCCAACTTGTCTTTCAGCCTTTGCACTTGGATGTTGTTGAGCTTCCCCTCCTCACCTTGAACCTTGATGAAGAACAGGGACAGGCCACTGGAACCCTGGGGCCATGGGAAGGTGTGAAAAGAGATTTCATTACAATGAGAGAAGGAAGAAAAAGAGTGTTCCTTCAGCTGGTTCCACCGTCAAACAGGATTGCTTTACCTGGCCTTCAGCACCCTGGCCAGGGTAAGTGCCACATCAGAATCAGCTGCAGACATGAACCATTTGAAACGCTGAGATGACATGTTCCATCTGGCTGCTTCCTGGCCACTGTCTCCGTGCTCGTAGCTGAAAGGAAGGAGAAGGTCATCCTGGCTTAATGGGAACTTCTGTCTCAGTCAATGCCGATTTTCAGTTCAAGCAGCAGCTCTTGTAAGTCACCTCTTTCGATCAAGGTGGAGTATGGATTAGCTGCTAATCTCTTTCATTGACCCTGGATAAGAAATGCAGCCAGAGTTAAGTACTAGAAAGGAAATCTGCTTCACTACAAGGCTCTCCAGCAATTGCTCTGGGCTAAGGGCTGGTGATGGCAGTGCTCTGTAAGCAGAACACACCACGGTGTATAATCCAATGCCTCCGTGTCTTTAGGAGTTACCACTGCCAAGTACAACACAGGGTGCTATGGAATAAGGAGTCCTGTCACGATGCACACCTTTCACTCCCCAGCTGACCCTTTCACTTCTTCACCAGGAAAGCAACTGCAGCTTCAGCAGATGCAGGTGACACCCCTTCCACGCTTCTGTCTGGAGGTCTGAGATTTCCTGGCCCATCACAGTATTGCCAACATGAAAAGTTGAACACCAAGAATGCTTCCTCAGTCCCAGCTGGGATGGGTCTGGCTGGTTCAAGTTTTGAAGTATAGGGCTAGACATGAGAGTGTTACCTGTGCAAGGAGCACAGCTCTGTACCTGCCTGTGTGTGCCTCATGCAAACTGGCCTTTTCCTGGGTAAAAAGCAGAGCTGTGCAGAGGCTTTGGGTGACTTTTGCTCAAGTTTCCCAAACCAGCCACCTGGCTTTATGAGTGCCCCATTTTCTCAGTCCTTGCTCACACATCTAGCTGCTGCTGCAGCTGCTTCCCACCTCAGAACACATACCAACGTCAGAGCCTCCCCTGAGCTCTGCCATCCCCTGGCCAGAGGTCCAGAACTTCTTGGGTTCTCGAGATGTCAGATGGCCAAAAGCAGTTTTCAGAGATCCAGGAATACCCAGTGACTGTCTGGGGGGAAGGAAAAGGAACTTAAGATGATGATAACACAGTAGATGAAATTAGGCATTTGCTTTCACAACCACTGGCGTGTCCTGGGCTCTGAGTAGACGCTCTACAAGCAGGCGCTGCAGCACATCTGCACCTACTGCTGAGAGCCTGAACCTGCCCAGCTCCTGCATGGCTGCTGAAGCACTGTGCACACAGAAGGTGCTCATTTGTGTTGCCTCCCTACCTCCTGGGGTTTCTGCAGTGTTAGGCATCTGGACAGAGAGCCTTGAGAACAGTACATGTGCCACGTATCAGCACGTGTTCATAGACACTGGGTGTCAGCAGCACCCAAAGAGCTGCAGGAAAGAGGTCACCGCATTATGCTTTTGGCCTTTTATTGAATGAAAATGCCACGGCTGGCTCCTGAAGGGCCAAGCTCTTCTCTGCACCCTGCATAGCCACGCACACAGTGCAAAGGACACTGCCAAGATGCAGAGGCAAATCTTCAGGCAGTGCAAAGTCTTGCTAGGTTGGTTTATATACATCAGGTAGAGATCTGGCCCAGACACAAGGAATAGGAAAACAAACTATCTCGTAATAAAAACATGGGACACCTTCCCAGCTACCTGCAGTGCCATGTGTGCAGCAAAGGCTTTATTGTACACAGTGATGTAGGTGAACAGAAAAGCTGGGCACAAAGACTCTGTAACTAAAGGAGAAAGGCAGTGGGAGATGGAGCTGAGTCACAGAGCAAGGGAGGGCCATGCCCAGCGCCAGATGGCAGATGAGCTCTGCTCCATCCTTGGCCAGTGCTCTGGTCTAACCAGCACTGCCAGGACGTGGGCTGTGCCGTCAGAGCCCAGCTGAGCTCATACCTCAATGACTTCGGCTGCCCTATCCATCATGGCCAGTGGACAGTTGAATCCTCCAGAGTAGCTTGAGAGTAAGTAGAGTTTGACAGCCTGATGCAGACAGCTATAGGAAAGAGAGTGAGGGGAAGCAGACGGGTTAGGCAGCAGTGCCACAGCAGGAGGATAAAACATCTTGATGGGAAGAGAGGAACAAAATACAGCCAAAGCAGGTGAAAATCAGACTGCACATTTCCAAGAGGACAAAACTTGCTTCAGCCAGGAGGAGAGAAGAGGATCAGCAGTTTCTCAGTCCCAGAGGGACAGCCAGTGCAAGGCTGGCTGGGAGGCACCTTGTGCCAGCCAGTGAACGTAAAGTGCAGCTTTTAAAAGGAAGAAATGTGCGTCTATCTCCAGAGGCTGGAATACAACGAAACTGCAAGTCAAATCCCAGCTCTTTAGCTGTGATACAACTAATGCATGTAAAGCTGGGGCAGTGGAGGGACCTGCCAGGCCCCAGGATCAGGAAGGTGACATCAAAGTGTATTATGAGCAACTGTAGACCATTAGTGACAGATTCTCATCGCTGGTGTGGAACACTGCAGCTGACAGACACTGCTGTTCAGTGCAGCAGTCGGTGTGCTTTTGCCCATGCATCATCTTGTACCTGTTATACAACTGAACGTACCTTGCTGAGAATAACACCAAGTCATTCCCATTCTCCCCAGTTGCCTCCAGTTGGAGTTTCTTCTCTCGTAGGCCTCAGCAACCAGCCCTTCTTCTGCTGCAATCTCCTTCATGCTCCTCCAGGCCAAGCAGGCGACAATGAGATCCATGTGCCATCCCCAGGCCTCACGCTGCCGGAGCACGACGGGTCCTGCTCACATTCCCAGCCCAAGGCTCTGACCTGGTGAGCAGGCGGCTTCCAAATCTCTCCAGGTCCCGATCCACCTCCTGCAGTACCTGTGAACAGCAAGAAGAGCCCTTCAGCATGCTCCTGGGAGGCAAGGAGCCTCATCCCAGCTAGAATGGCAGAGCACTGACTGTCTTGTCCTGTGGGACTAGTGGTCTCTTGCCATTCAGCCGTTCCATGACTTCTCTAATGCAGCAGGACAGCTTGTCCCTCAGCCTCTGCTGGCACAGCCTCGCTCAGTTGTCACTTCTCTTTTCCGCAAAAATCATTTTTTCAGGTTACTTTTGGCAGCATCTCTGGATTTTACAGAAGACAGAAGAGCTTTTGTATGAGGGCTGAGAGCGACACAGATGCACATGAGCAGGGGGGTTGGACAAGGCGATCTCCAGAGGTCCTTCCAACCTCAGCCACTCTGTGATTTACTGCCGGAGGAGAATGCCAGGGGGAGAGATGCCAAAAGCAGAAAGCCTTCATCTGTGTAGGAAAGCTTCCACTGGGCTCAGTAGTTACCTGCCTATCAGATTAGAAAAGGAGGGATGGAGCAATCATTTGAGCTCCAGCCTGGCACCAAGAGTGCCTAGATTCAAATTTCCACCCTGTATCCACCTTCCTGAATGGCCTGGATGAGGATTCACGTGCCCTGTCTCAGCCAGGCTGGGCTGACTGGACAGAGTGGTGTGTCTGTAGTTAACAGAGGGAAACTGGCACCCACAGAGCACTGGTTCATTCCAACCCTCCTGGACACCTATTTCAAGGTGACAGGAGCTGCCTTCTGCAAGTGCTCTTCACTGGCTGTGGCCAAAGCCTAGGAATGCTGCTGAGACTTAAATAACCTGACTTACAGAGGCCAGGAGGACCCAACCTCTAGCACTACTTGGACCCCTATCAGCATAAATATGCCCAAAGCTGTACTGGGCATCAGAGGGGCACTGATCTACACTTGCTTTCATCAGAGGAATATGTTTTGCTGTTCATCAAGAGGTGCTCGGTTCCTCCTCAGCAGAACAATCATGGAGGTAAATGCTGTAGTTGCTGCACCCAAAAAGGTGCAGTTATAAAACACATTAATTGGCTGGCAATGAAATACAAACATTGCTTCTTCCTCTCCCGCTTCCCCCTGTATTGACTTTTCATTAAGCTCCATCCCGTAGGATTGATTTGTTCATGACTGTGCCAGTCAGTGTGTAACGAGGCTCCAGCACAGTGTCCAGTTACTACTCTGGAAGTCTCCATCCTCAGACCGGTTTTCCTTCAGGTGAAGAGTGAAATAGTGTTAAAAATCACAAAAGAAGCCAAATCCATGCACAAGAGCCCTGTCAAATGGCACAGCTCACACTGCACCCGTTTGCTGTCGGTGGAGCTCAGCTGGGACCAGTGTATGCCTCCAGTGCCTGGCATCCTGACAGCAATCCGAAGGTTGTTTGAGAGGCAGAACCTCCCAACAAGGTTCATGAATTTCACTGATCCCTGAAGCACAAGAACCTTTGAACTGGTTTTTTGTGGGCAGATGAATGACTCTACCAAACAGGTCTCTTGGCCAGCACACCACAGGGAACTCAAACTGCAACAGCCCCTTCACCTCATCCATGGTTTCCAAGCCCCCCTGACTGCCTAGCAGGGAGCTCACACCCTGACCCTCACACACCACTGTGTTGCCCAAGTGAATGTGTTTGTTTCTGAGGTAAAAGGACAACATCAGAGCTCCTGTGGTGCTGACTGCTGAATGTGACACACAGCAGCCTGGGCACTCCAAAACACCTACACTAGGATACAGAGAGGACGTCTGTAAACCCTGGATGTCCCTAGGATGAATGTATGGGAAATGTGCAAATCATTGCATTGACAGTACAAACTTTTCTATTAAAGGCTGTATTTTCAGGGGGATCAAAGAGCAAGAGCTCAAAACGATGCCCAGAAAAAGCAGGTGCTTTCCTCTCCAGGAGGATTTCTATGTTCACCACTGAACACAAGTGAACAGCACAACAGGAATCAGCCTCCAGCGTGGTGCCTGCTTCAGTGGGACACACAAAGCTTCCTGTGTTGCTGTTCTCCTGGAGAGGAAGGTGTCAACATGGAGAGCTCGCTCTAGGGCTGCAGGCGAGCGGGTGCTGCATGAAGCAGAGACTGAGCTCTCCCTGTCAGCCGTGAGACAACACTGCCCCGCTGGGACCGAGTACAGGAACGAAGGGACATGCTGTTGGTTCCCAGATGGATTTTGCAGCTGCTTTTGTCTCTTTGGGAAGGAGTTAAGAGCAGCTCTTGGTCCTGCTGCAAGACAGCACTGACCCTTTTATTCTTTGGGAGATCTGAATCATGCTTCTTCCAAAGGTGTGGAGATGGAGCAAGATCTTCATGGTTGCCCAAAGGCATCTTCCTTTCTGGTCTTCTCTTCTGGCAAAAAGACCACAGTTATGCCTAGGGGGGCCTCACCCCTGTCTTTTGAGATGGCTGTGACAAAAGCAAGCTCCCAATGCTGCCACCACACTCTGCGGGACCTTGCAGACCTGGAGAGCAAGAAGTGGCAGGGAGAGCATCGCTGAAAGCCAGGTTCTGCCCCTTAACACACCCAGTGGCTTTACAGGTCATTGTATTGCTTCTGCTGGTATAGATCATGGAGAGAGGTCACGCTCTGCCCTGAGACCTGGTCCTTGAGAAGAGGGAAACAGTTGTGGTCCCTGGGGTGACAGCAGAGGACAGCCAGTGAGATGAGCTGCCTCCTCCCAGGGGTTCCTGTAGGACTGGACCTCACAGAGCAGAGACCCACAGCTCAGGGTCTCACCCCACCTCTCCACACCCCTGCAGTAAGTACAGAGCCTTCCCTGAATGAAAATCAGCCCAGAAAAGCCAACGACCTGTGCTGAGAACTAGGAAACCCTAACAGCCTTTGCATCCTCTTTACCTGAGAACAGCCCAGTTCCTTTGGGAAGAAACATCCTTAAAAGCCCTTCTTCCCTGCGGGAGAGAAGTGGAAGAGCATAGCAGAGTTTGGAAGCACTGTAGCCTTTTCCCTTACTCTGAAATGTCTTTCTCTGGACCATCAGACAACGAAAGACGATCCCAAAACAACACTCCTATTGCAACACCCAGAGCAGTCCCAGGAACCCACTAAGCCACTTTCTCTTCATGTCCTGGCAGTATTTTTCACCCTTTACTGATTCAGAGAGAACAAGTTTTAAACAATGCTGATAAATTCCCTCCAGTTATGTACTCGAAGGCACAAAATGGCCAAGAGACACATTCAATTCACAGCCTTAACCAGCGACCTGAGGTGTGTACACACAGAAACACAACCGTGCACTCCAGACCTTAGGAGGAAGGTGTGTTTTCAAGTAACTCCAAAGCAAAGCACCTTCTAAATACTGGTTCCCAGTCTCGGGCTGCTCATGGAAGAGGGTCTCCATTTCTCTCCTTGCAAGGGGCCTTTCCAGATCTTCTAATACTTGTTTCTCCTGCACGTCAATGTGTTGCCCCTGCCCTGCACTCGTGTTGACTCCTCTATGGCTCAGTGGTTGGCACCTCTCCCGGACACGAGACAGAAAGTGACCTGGCTGCCACGGAACACTGGATCTCCACCATGGTAGGTGGTAGGTGAACATGACCCTGCAAAACCCTGCCTGTGCCACGGCCATCGCCTCCAGCCCCTTCCTCGCAGGGCAGGAGCACCACTCCTGGATTGCTCCAGTGTTGTGAAGTTATTCTCGAACATCAGTGCTGCCTTCTCCCCTCCTTCGGGGAGGAGCTTTCCAGCAGCTGCTGTCAATGGAACTAGGGAAAAGGTCTTTGGAAAGACATCAGAAAACGGCCTGGAGAACACTCAGGAAACACCATGTCCTCCCCTGCCAGCTGGGAAACCATCCAGCAGGACCAGCAGTTCCAGGGGGAGCTGGGGAGGGGATGTTCCAACCAGCACCCCCCCGATTGCTTGGGGTGATAATGGATAGAGATGAGAACAACAAACCACATTTCCTCATCTGGAGGATAATGGAAATGGGGCAGAATGGGTTAGGCAGGTTATTCTGTAAATAACATACTGGTGAAATCGCAGCATTCCCCTACCTTAAGTGGGCCCCCAAGAAACCTGGAGAGGGGCTTTGGACAAGGGCCTGGAGGGACAGGACAAGGGCAATGGCTTTAACCTGCCAGAGGGGAGACTGAGATGAGCTCTGGGGCAGAAGCTCTTCCCTGTGAGGGTGCTGAGGCGCTGGCACAGGGTGCCCAGAGAAGCTGTGGCTGCCCCATCCCTGGCAGTGCTCAAGGCCAGGTTGGATCTATATTCGTATCTGTATAGTCATGGATACATTCATACATATGACGATTCTGTGAAACACCGAATCTGTCCTCCTTGCCTGGGCTGGGACTCTGGCTCCACAATAATCTGCTTCTGATGAAGTCCCTGATGCCTTTAATTTGACTTCGGATGACATCAGGAGTCTCCCTTTCCCTGGGGAAGCACCTGAACGCGACTTTTGCCTTCGCATAGTTTAAAACCTGCTCCTCACTTGGGGTGACGATACAGAGTCACAGCCTGGTTTGGGTTGAAGGGAGCTTAAAGCTCCTCCAGTTCCAACCCCTGCCACGGGCAGGGACACCTTCCTCTAGAGCAGGTTGCTCCGAGCCCCGTCCGCCCCTCGCACGCCGCAGGGACGGGGCACACGCAGCTCCTTCCACCGCTCTTGTCCGGCACGGCCGGGGCCGCTCTTGGTCTCGCTCTCGCCTCCGCCCCAGGGCCGGGCGGGG